TCAGTCCCATCCTCTCCCATTACCCTGGAGACGAGTCCCATCCTTTGCTGTTACCCTGGAGATCAGTCCCACCCTCCCCTGTTACCCTGAAGACCAGTCCCACTCTCCCCTGTTACCCTGGAGACCAGTCCCACTCTCCTCTATTACCCTGGAGATCAGTCCCATCCTCTCCCGTTACCCTGGAGACGAGTCCCATCCTTTGCTGTTACCCTGAAGACCAGTCCCACTCTCCCCTGTTACCCTGGAGATCAGTCCCACACTCTCCTGTTACCCTGGAGATCAGTCTCAACCTCTCGTTACCCTGCAAACCAGTCCCACCCTCTCCTGTTATCCTGGAGGCCAGTCCCACTCTCCCCTGTTACCCTGGAGATCAGTCCCACCCTCCCCTGTTACCCTGAAGACCAGTCCCACTCTCCCCTGTTACCCTGGAGATCAGTCCCACACTCTCCTGTTACCCTGGAGATCAGTCTCAACCTCTCGTTACCCTGGAAACCAGTCCCACCCTCTCCTGTTATCCTGGAGGCCAGTCCCACTCTCCCCTGTTACCCTGGAGATCAGTCCCACACTCTCCTGTGACCCTGGAGATCACGCTCCTCTGTTACATCTTTAACTCTAGACTTGTTATCCAGAAAACAAGCACCATCCTTCTATTGCCCTGGAGACTGGGGACCAGGTCTACCCTATTCTGTTACTTAGGAGACCAATTCTATCCTCCTGAGTTACCCTGAACACCAGATACAACCTCCCTTGTCACTTAAGAGTCTACTTAAACACTCTTCCTATTTCTGAAGAGATTAATTCTGCCTTCTCTAGTTACCCGAGAGACCAGCTCACTCTCCTGTTACCATGGAGTTCAGGCCCACTCCCCTCACCCACCAATCACTTAGACTAATTCTCCCTTCTCACCCTCATTTATCACCCAGGAGAATAATCCGACCCTTCTCTGTTGCTTGGGAGATCAAGTCTTCCTCTCTGGTCCCAGGGCCATTAGCCCCACCTCCATCCCTTTGCCCCGGAGCCAAGCCCTACACCTTGTACCTGAGATACCAGGCGCTGGTTCTCATTCAGCCAGCTCTCCCTCATAGCCACCTTGTGGTCAAACCTCTGGGCCAGTAGTTCCAGCTTCTCTTGCCGGATCAACTCAGCCCGTAGGGCAGCCTCCCGCTCATGCTCTGCCTTCTCCAGCTGGCCCCATGCCTGGGGGAGAAAGGAGGAAGCAGTCAGATTCCAACAACTCCCTACAGTTTAATGGCCTTGCTTCTCTGGGGCCACTCATAGCATTTATGGCACCTTTCTGCAAACTGGAAAAAAATGTTGCTTCCTTATGACATTGTACTTCTGGAAAACTGTCAGAATGTATACCCAGTCCATGATGTCTACAATGTAAACGGCTCCCTTGAGCAGTGTACAACCTACACAACTCCACAGAGCCACCCAGTCTCTCCCCCACATCTCCAGCCTCACCTTGTCAATATCCCAGATGCCACAGCCCTCCCGAGGCACAAAGAGGCGACGGTTGCAGGCACGCAGTTTGCTCTGGATGCTGAAGAGCAGCACCTCCAGGTTCCCCTTCTCCTGAAACCTGAAGAAGGCATGAGCTCAGGAGCCCTGCCTCCATGCCATCGCCTACCACCCTCTCCCCTGACCTGGGCTCACTTGACGGGCTTCTCCAGCGTGCAATAGGCTGTGAAAGCCTGAAGCTGCTGCTGCACCCCACTCAGTGAGTTGGCAAACTTCTGGTTGCTGATGAGGCCCACGGTGCGGTGGATCCAGGCCAGCAGCTCAGCCGCCAGCTCCTCATAGCGCTCTATGATCTTTCTCACCTCCAACACCTGATCCAGGACCTGACCCAGCAAAGGATGGTGGGATCCACCTCATCCCACATAGGCCTGCAGGTGGTTCCCAGGCTCCTGCCCGCCCTGTTCCTTGGCCTTTCATACCTTCCCAATCCGCTTCCCCTCCACAGCCAGAGCTTTCATCTTGGAGAAATAGTGGTAGAAAGAGACCACATAGGTGATGATGGATTTCTCGTCTGGAGCCTCCATGTTCACATCTGGGGGGAAAAGAGGAGTATGGGAGCATGACGGTGGGCACTCTAACAGAGGGACTGAAGGTATTGGGTAGAGTGAGAGAAAACCCAATCTTACTAGCTGTGTGACCTTGGGCAAGATAATTAACCTCTCTGTTCTTCAGTTTTTGTATCTGCCAAATGGGGATTTAGCTCATGGGATTAAATGGTACCTGACATATAAAAACCACCATAGAGAAATTATCAAAAATTATTTCTTGAACATGCCATTCTACCTTCCACCTCAGAGCCTTTGCACGTGCTGTTCTGTCTGAAACACTGTTCCCTCTTCGATGTGCCCAACTCCCACTCATCCTTCAGGGCTGAACTCAACTTGAATTTCCTCAGATAAGCCTCCATGTTCACTCTGTCTAGAGATGGTCCCCTCATGTTATCCTCCTTTTAACATCTTGTCATTTCCTTCCCAGAAAAAGTATCACAATTTGTAATTAAATATTCACTTATGTGATTTTGTCATTATCTAGAGTTTAATCTCCAGGAAGACAAGGACTATGCCTTTTTGTTTGTTTGTTTTTTTACCATGATTCTTGCCATGCCCAACACATAGTAGGAGCTCAATAAAAATTTAGTAAGTGCATGAATGGTGTATGAGGTTTGAGGTCAAGAACATGGGCTTTGGAAACAGCATGTGCTTGAATCATAGCTCAACCACTTAATCACTGTATGTTTTTTAGAAAACTGATCTAGGGCCGGCCCGGTGGCGCACTGCTGTAGTGCGCCGCTTGGGAAGCGCGGTGGCGCTCCCCGCTGTATGTTTTTTAGAAAACTGATCTAGGGCCGGCCCGGTGGCGCACTGCTATAGTGCGCCGCTTGGGAAGCGCGGTGGCGCTCCCGCCGAGGGTTCGGATCCCACATACAGACCGGTTCCCGCTCACTGGCTGAGCGAGGCGCGGGGGCAACCCGAGGGTTGCGATCCCGTTGCCGGTCCCGGTCTGGTACAGGAGCGACACTGAGGGTCGCGATCCGTTGCCGGACACGGAAAAAGACAAAAAAAAAAAAAAAAAAAAGATCTAAAAAATAACAAACAAAACAAAAAGAAAAAAAAGAAAATGGGTCTAACTTTCGTGAGCCTCAGTTTCCACATTGTTATAATAAGGATAATCATGATTCCTACCTCTTAGGAACACTGTATT